ACGTACTGCGTCGATAGTGGCATTGTTCGCGATTTGTTGGATCTCACTGGCCATGAAGAAGATCGTCGGACGAATACGAGGTACCACTCCGCATCGGTTGTTGAACCCCGTCGGCCCCCGAACTAGTCAGGGGAGACGAGGTCTCATCGTGCAGAGTCAAAAGAACTTGATTTGCAACGTCTCGCTTAAAGGTACTCTTCTAGGGAGGAGTCCAGGCCTCAAGGGCCTGAGGAAATGACAAGAGATAGAGTGGGTCTGTCGAACGGCAGATGGACGGCAGATTAGCCTGAATAATTGAATTGCTATGACCTTGGTGGATTGGCTGGTTCAGATCAGAGACAGACCCTTGTAACTGCTCAGGACAAGAAATGGGCGCCGTCTTGGCTGTGGATTTTGCTTCGTCGCTCATTTGGGTCATTGACGGAGAAGATGGATGGCTGGAGAATATATTGAGTCTGCATGCAGAGAGAAGTCGCATTCATAAGGGATGAGTTCAACCAATCTACGCCCGGAAAATGTATCCTACTATCAATAGGGAAAAACATTCTCATTGATTGCAAATAGTTGTTAGGTTAATGTAACACTGCTATCTTTCTTTGTGTGACAGTAATTGCTTCTTACCAGCATTCCTAGTCTCTGGTTCCAACTCTATCACCGATTACTCCGTATCCACTGCAACATTTCCATTTCCTCTTCCAGCGAACGACCTCTCTTCCTCAAACCACATTCTTGATTGTCAAACGTCAATACATGAAGCTTTCTCACCATCACTTATGATTGATCACTAACCTTCCACCATCTTCCTTGGCGTCTGATCGCTATGGCCTCTCGTCCGAGCGTGCTCTCCGCCTTTCACGACCGACACCAGTGACCGCAACCACCATGGCCACCGGCTCGAGCGCCAGGGACAAGGAATTTCGTGATCAGTTGGGCAAATTCCGTCTCGAGTCCGTCGTTACTCCGCTTCCTCCTCTTCATTCATCCGCTTCTTCGTCGCAGTCTCAGTTACAGCCTCGATCCGTGCCTCCTCTTTTTCCGCCGCCCAGCTCCACCACCCCCAGTGTCGCTTCCCCGCTGCAGCCTTCTCACGGCAGCCGCCCCAAACGCGTTTCCACCGCGTGCGATTTCTGTCGCAAACGGAAGAAAAAATGCGATTTTCGATATCCCAATTGCTCTGCGTGTACTCGCGCCGGAGTCCGATGTACTGTTCCACCACCCGGTCCGCAGATCGCCAGCGCCTCTGTCCCTCGCGACCAGCTCGAGAATCTTCAGAAACGAGTAGAATGGTTGGAAGATGTCCTCCGGCGAAAAACAGGACTATCGGTGGCTGGGATACCGACAGGGAGCAATGTGGATGGGGAAGGTGATCCGGATTGGTGGTACCAGGTGCCGGCCATAATGGCCAGATACAGTAATCGACACTCCATCGGTGCGGGCAGTGTTGCGACGTCAAGTCCTGCCGGTAGCGGACGAGGGTCCTCGACCGGTCCGCCAGCGTCAGACACGTCTGGGTTTGGAACAGAGTTGCCCAACGTAGGGGAGATTTTTCGCGACCAGCTTGAGCACCGTCGGCCGTCGATAGCACGCCCGACAGTGTCGGCCCCGCGCGTCGTCCGTTTACCGTCCTTGGAAGAGGCAGAGCGAATAGCAGGCAACTACTTTGACAGTATGGGTTACCAGTATCCTTTCTTGTCGCGACCGGACTTTATGGCGCTGCTGCGACACATCTACGCGGGCGAAGTACCGACTCCGGAAGATCACTACTCGTACCATATCACGATAGCAATTGCGCTGTTGATCGGATCGGCGGACGAATCGCAGATCGACGAGTTCTATCACGCTAGTCAGCAGACTCTTTCGCTGGCCTTGCAGAACGAGGACCTGGCCGCCGTACGGGCCTTGCTGAGTCTGGCGCTATACACAATGTTTGCGACCACCGGCCCTAGCGTGTGGCATGTTCTAGGGACGTCCATGCGACTGGCGACCAGTCTTGGTCTCCACAAGATGCGGTCCTCGGCGAGTCTGATGGAGGAGGAAATGGCCAAGCGAGCATTCTGGAGTTTGTATAATCTCGACCGGTTGATTGCGTCAACACTGGGGCGACCGTTGGGGATTGCTGATGAGGACATCAGCGTGGGTTTGCCCCGGGAGTTTAACGATGACTGGACCGAAGTGCCGGGAGGCAGTACCATGACCATTCCGGTCCAGGTGGTTAAGCTGCGCCGCCTGTTCTCCCGGATCTATCGTTACTGTGAGTTCTTTCATGGTGGTTTACTGTTCTGACTAACAAAGTAGTGTACAACAATCAACCGCCTCCGGATCCTCAAGAAGTTTCGATGATGCTGGTTCAATTCCGGCAAGAGCTCGACGACTGGCGCACGGCCGCGCCGGTGTATCCGCCTGCACTATTATACTCGACCAGCTACTACGATTATCTCTATTACACCACTCTACTTCTGATGTACCGCCCCAGTCCGCGGAATCCGACCCCTGATGCTACTAGCATTGTTAGCTGTGGTGACTCTAGCATTCAGGTTATTCGGTCATACTGGGACAGCTATTCGGTGGGCAAGATCAAATGGATCTGGCTGACGCTGAGCCAGACGTATTTTGCTGGAATTACCATCCTGTGGTGTTTAGAACAAAATTCGCGGGCCCTTCGGGATGGACGGCCGCCCTTGTGGCAGCCGGATGAGCAGATGATGCGCCGAGCCATCCAGGCGGTGATTGTGCTGCTGGAGGAGTTTGGCAAGCGACGGCCGGGAGTGGAAAGACTCGGGGAGACCTTTCGGTGTCAAAGCTCGATGATCTTCAGCCAAATGGCATATCAGCAGCAACAACGGCAGGAACACCCCCAGCAGGAAACACCGTATCCCCAGCCACAGCCGCCTCTTCCCCCTACACCACCGTCTTCGCTGCCAGCCATCCCACCGCCGCCGGTCCCACTGGCGCCAATGCTGGATGATGTGTTGCTGGTTGATGGGATACCCCGGCAGATTGACCCTCAGTTGGCAGAGCAATTGTTTTACTCTTATGATTGGTTTCAGGAGGAGATGGCGACATATTATACCCTGTAGTCTATTGTCATTTTCTTGTATATATTCAATATCATTGCAAATATCATTGCATCAGCATGCCTCTTGGCGCGCAACATCCATCATTGTATCTCCAATGAGGCAGAGCCCAATACTTTCCTAATACTCGTCGATATCCGTCTCGTTGGACTTAATAGGCATGTTGCCAACTGCATCGTGTGGAAAGACTTTTCGGTTCACTGCGGGCATCGTTCGGAAGCAATGAGTTTGATTATCTCGGATATTGTTAATACTGCACTCATATACATTCATTCTAAAGAATTATAGTCGTCCTCGACATCAACTAGCTGCTTTTGCGAAGAATGTCGGTGTCACTGCACGCTGATATCTGCGTCATCTGCAGCTGCCCCGCACTGATAAGCATCCATCTTCAACCCTCTTCGTTCATACTATCATCACCTCAAAGCTACCTAACTCAAAGACCATAGACATACAATGAACGAAACACCAACAGCAACAGGCCTCCCCATCGCCTTCCACGGCACGATCATCCACTCCCTCTCCCCCACCCACCTCCAAACACTCCCCAACACCTTCCTCCTCGTCGACATTGCCGGCAACATCCAGGCTCTGGTCCCCAACACCGACCCCTCAACCATCAACACGCTAATCGCAGACAATGGCTACGCACCGGACGTCTTCCCCGTCAAACACCTCCCCAAAAACTCCTTCCTGATCCCAGGCTTCATCGACACCCACAACCACGCCCCCCAATGGGCACAGCGCGGCGTAGGACGCGGCCTCTCCCTCCTCGACTGGCTCGAGAAAGTCACCTTCGCACACGAAGCGAAATTTGAGGACGCGGAGTACGCAAAGCGCACGTACAGCGCCGCCGTGGACGGGCTCCTCCGGCAGGGAATCACAACAGCAAGCTACTACGCCTCCAAGCATCCAGCCGCGACGAAGATCCTAGCAGAGGTATGCCGGTCGAAGGGCCAGCGGGCGCTCGTCGGTCGGTGCAACATGAACCGGCACGCGCCGGGGTGGTACCGCGATCTCAACGCGGAGGTATCCGTCAAGGAGACCCGGGAATTCATCGAGTGGATGCGCGAGTTCAACGGGACCGACGACCGACCGCTCGTCAACGCAGTGATCACGCCCCGCTTCGCGATCTCCTGCGACGAGGAGGTCCTCTCCGGTCTTGGGGCGCTGGCGGCCGCGAACCCGGATCTCCGCATCCAGACGCATTTCAACGAGGCGCAGCAGGAGATGGAGTTTACGAGGCAGTTGTTTCCGGACTTCGCGCACGAGGCGGAGCTGTATGCGCGGTTTGGGCTGCTGAGTGAGCGGTCGATTCTGGCGCATTGTATCTTCCTGCGGGAGGAGGAGATGGAGACGCTGGCGCGGCTGCGCTGTGGCGTGGCGCATTGTCCTATTCCCAATACGACGATGCAGGCGTTTATGGTTGCGCCGGTGCGGGAGTATCTGCGGAGGGGTATCAAGGTCGGGTTGGGGACTGATAGTGGCGGGGGTCATTCGATCTCCATGCTCGAAGTCATGAAGCAGGCGTTTGTGGTGTCTACGGCGCGGGCGACGGAGACCCGTGGCGCGGATCCGGCGTTGTCGGTGGCGGAGTGTTTCTTCCTGGCGACTTTGGGGGGTGCGCAGGTGTGCGGGTTGGAGGAGAGGGTTGGTAATTTTGCTGTCGGCAAGGAGTTTGATGCATTGGAGATACGGACTGGGGAGGGTGTGGAGATGGGTGTTATGGCGCCGGTGGAAGAGGGGGATTCAATTGAGGTCATCTTTGAGAAGTTCTTGATGACGGGAGATGATCGCAACATTGTCAAGGTTTATGTCAGGGGACGTGCTGTCAAGGTTTGATCTTAGATCTGGTGTACTATCAATTGGTAGTTCCTGGAACGAGGCTGGATGGTCATGAATTCGTTATATGCGGAGAGATGCTATCTATTCCCATGTCCCACTTGGTGGCCCAAAGTATCCCGAAGATGGCAAGGGTTTGAGAGGCGTTCCCATCCCGTCTGCAGTCTTGCGATACACTATATTCCCCCACCAGTGCAATGGGCCGGCAGGAAGCATGATGCAGAAGAAAATGATGACGGTGGCCACGGCGACGCCAGAGTCGAGAGCGGCAGACAAAACGTAATCTGAGCGAGTCAGTACAAGCAGCACCACAGAGGCGAACATGACCCACTGTACTTGGACCACCATGCAGGCTTCCTCCGCTTGATGATTCCATTGAAGATTACATTGACCACCCACCATGAGGAGAAATTGATCCCTGTTGCAGGCGGAACAAGACTCATGGCTCCAAAGGCGACAGGCCATGAGATCTTGTTCAACCACGTCCATCGCCGCCCAAGGAGAAAGGTGATGACAATTACTACAGGTCCAGCGAGGAAGAACCAGAGGAGGTTACCATAGATTTGACCGGGAGAAAAGTTTCGTCCAGGACCCAGGGCGCCTTGTCTGTCAGTGCGAGTTTCGGAAAGAGGCATGGATGCACTTACCCCATATCAAAGAAGCCGAATATGTTACTCGACCATGAGGACAGGTGAATCCACCATCAGCCTTTGGGGTGCAGATGTTGTCAAATCTTGTGACCATAAAGACGGTGACACCGCATTGAACGATGGCTCCTACGAGGGTAGCTAAACCCTGGGCTATGAATAGTGTACGTGGGGCGATGTGGAGATAATGAGCGAGCTTCATGTCGGCCACAAATCTAAACAGTCAGCTTTGTCGACTAGTGACAAGGTCGTACTCACTCCAAACCCTGGGAGACAGCTACATAGCCATAGAACTTGAATATCATGTTTGCCAGAGGTCGTCCCAGAAAAGCATATCCTCCAATGAACTCCGTGATCAGGTTCAATTGATTGCTGCTGATGTTGGTCGTAGCCTTGATGATCCCAACTGGAACGAAGTAGATCATAGGAAGGATAAACGCGGTGACAACAGCCCAAACTGGAAGCCCCGTGTGCCAGACTTCGTTGGCTACAATGCTGAGCGCGAATATCAGAATGGTCACACCGGCAAACCACCACCAGGGAACGTCTGCGTAGGCAGCAATCAATCGCGCATGGATATCCTTCTTGTTCCTGCCCTTCCACTGCTCCCACAGATCCTTTCCATTATACAGCGCAATGTGGACAAAGATGCCTGTAAGATTGGCGAATGCGATCCCATAGGTCAGTGCATAGCCTGCCGGAAGAAACATGGGCGAATAATGGCGGTATGCCTCAGTGTCAACAGTCCCATCTCTATTCATGACATGCTTTGTGTGATATGGTCTGCCGGTGTTGTCAAACGTATTAGAGTTCATCATAGGCATATAGGCCGAGTACCATGTGTTGGTGTAATAGATAATGGGACAGATGATCCAGTAAAACAAGGCAAATGACCCCATCACATTGAGTCCGGCCCAGAATGGAACGAGGAGCGGACTTTGATTCGCGAAGACGACTTGTGCCCAGTCAAAGGTCAAAAGAGACATCCCCAGCCCGGTCTCTTGGCCAAACAGCTGATTGACGACGACGTTATGTGGGACAATCCAGCACACGAAGCTGAACGAGCTCAACGCGGTGAACAAATAGCCTGGGACAAAATACCAGATAGCACCGACACTAAACACTATTAGAAAGAAACGAAGGCGGGACACAATCCACCCATCCGCGAGCAGATTGCTGCGTGAATGCAATGTCTGTAGCACCGCAGCGTTTGATAACACCCCAGGCCAGATCATCGTAGCAGGACCAACGAGCCAGCGCGAAGCCATCCCCGCCAGACCCAGGCCGAGTAGCTGGGTGGTGATCGTTAAAAGCAGGTAATATCCGCCTCGTGAAGGCATCCCGTAGAACTTCACGGCAGCCTCAATCACCTGGGTGGCTGAAGCAGATCCAAAGGAGACATTGGCCATAATTGTGATCAAAGCATGCTCCTTGATGTTGAAATGCCGGTTCGGATTCGCCCAGCCCAGTGGCACCCATCTTGCCCACGCGCAACCGACAGGATATGCCACGAGCTGCGCAACCAGAGCACTGATGCTGACGCTGGGCTGTCGCAGACTAAAGAACTGGTTCAACCCGCTCCCCACCTGTTGATGCATTAGAGACTTGATCTACAGTTTGTTGCAAGAGATGTTTGACGTACAATAGTGAATATGATGCCGATGATCCACACGCGCACTGTATTGACAGGCAGACTTACGTCGTCAACTGGCTGCACCACGGCGCGGACCTCAGGAAATGGAGAATCGTCTGCTTCATACGGGAGGATTTTCTGAGCATCATAGTCGTTGAGGACACTGGCATTCTCATGGAGCGCCGTTGGAGATGGTCCCTAGTCAAGACTTCTCGTTAATAACCAAGCCTGCACCTATCGTATCACCAAGTGGATATTTATGGGCAGATATTGACTGGTGGATCGCAATCAAGATGTCACACTTGAATAGGAAATAAAAAACGCTGTGGAGACAATAATATACATAGTAGACAGGGAAATGTGCAATAGAACATGTTTGCAAGGCGAAACCCACATGAACCGATCCCGTGCATTGGACCTTTTCATCTTCTGGCGGATCAACAAGAGGACTCTGGATCCCAGCCATATCCTGGCTTTATTAAGCCGCAACGTGGAATGCCACTATGTATGCTCGAAATCAGCCTACTGGTAGGACCGTAGAGGCTCGTCTGGCTGATCGGAGACGGGTCTGGCGTGGTGGAGATTGATCAAAAAAAATGCATGGGCTGTTGTAGATGAAACCTCAGTTGCATGATATCTGACGCCACCATAAGTAGCTTGTTTCCTAGACGCGAGAGATGATGCAGTCGATGATGTATGTGTTTGGGATTGGGATAAAATGGATGAGAGTTGGCTATTTCCACTGTTCAGTGTAGCGAACAGCTTTTGTTGTTGTAGGCTATCGCCCTTCAACAATCTAAGTCTAGAGCATAAGGTGAATACTGTTACTCCTTATGGAACTCACAATCAATGAAGCAAGTGAAGTAAAGATTTAAGATGTATAGTTCGTGTTGGTGGTTTGAATTCTATTGACTGATTGATGGATAAATCATCTTCTTTGTCTCCTGCTCAAGTGAATTCTGCATCAAATGAGGGGACTAAAGTCAGGTGATCGCACTGCCGTTGAGAGACTCGAGACATTGTGTTCTTTCGACCAAGACTACAGTATATTGTCAAAGAAGATACCAGATCGAATTGTTGAGAAGATTCGTCTGGAAAAGGCGCCGGTAATATATTTATAGTGAAGAATCAGATCAGTGATTGGGCTGGGTCGCCAAAGGGATGAAAACTATTTGGCTTTCACACGGAGTGTTTCGGGAAAACTCCCTCAACCCGCAAGACGGCATTATATGCAGCATGACTCGCAGAGTCAGAAGGAACCGTCCCATTCTTCGCAGATCTTAAACTATTGGCTCTGATTCTTAGCCAAAGTCTTCAGATAAATGCCGTCTTCAGGGAGGGATGAACATCCCACAGGTCTGTCGGTATGGGCCGCTAGTTTCTTCCATATTGGTCGGATCATTAAACCTAAGGTGAGTTGACGTGCCTTGCAATGCTTTGGCTGCAGATTAGTCTATCTTTAGTCCATTGTACTGATAATAACTATCGTCCTCTACTAGCGGGTAGAGCCGACAGTCGGACCTGAGCGCTCTCCAATTCCAACGCAGATGTCAGGAGCCATTTCTGCGAGGAGAGTTGTGGCCGGCGGATATAAAGGAACGAACTGCAATGCATCTGAACGGTGATGGGGCATAGTTTGTGTTAAAAAGGGTCAATCTCGGATACACCAGGTGCTGTCAGCACTGACAAAGATCTTCTCCCTTCGGGCAGCTTTGTTGGGTGTCTTTCTTGTGCCCTCATCCTTTTCCCTTTGAGAATCCAGCTTCTTGATATTTGGGAACTATCCCATCCCCATATTCTGCGACAAACGATCGAGTCTCAAATCTCTACAGAAGGATCAGCAAGATTTCACGCACAAAATGGGGGAATGCGATAAAAGTCTCCACACGTCTCCTGTACCGTTCTCACAACGTCCGATCATCATTCTAGGCGCAGGAATTATCGGGTGCGCTACAGCAAGACAGCTCCTCTTGAATGGCTTTCGCGTTGTGGTTGTTGCCGAGTTCCTGCCAGGCGATCAGAATATTTTCTACGCATCAGCCTGGGCCGGAGCAACATGGCATGCTGCTGGCGGTATCAGCCCCGAATATCGATACCTTCAAGCTGTTACGCATCGGCATCTGTTGAAGATGGCGCAAGAAGGCCCCGAATCGGGAGTTTGCCTTGTGGATGCGCGCGAATATCTCGAAGAAGCGCCATCTGAGAACTCCTCAATCTGGGGTAAGACTGTGGTCTCAAATGTAGGTAATGGAGCGGTCCCACTCATTGTGTATGGACATACTGACGGAGGTAGTTTCGCGAACTTGAACCCGGCGAATATCCACCTAACTTCCACAGCGGGTGGTCATACCAAACACTGGTAACGGATCCGACACGTCACTTGCCCTATCTCCGAGATCAGATAACGGCTCTTGGTGGCCAGTTCATTCGAAAGCGGGTCGAGTCCCTCCAAGAGCTATACGCCATGTTCCCCGAGTCAAGTGTCTTCATCAACGCCAGCGGGCTCGGAAGCAAAACCCTCACTGACGTCCGGGATGACAAGTGCTTTCCTGTGCGAGGCCAGAATGTCTTTTACCGTACCGACAAGTGTCGACAGATGTACTTTCGCAATGGAAAAGAGTATACCTATGTCATCCCCCGTCCTTTATCCGAGGGAGTAGTGTTAGGGGGAGTCAAGCAGCCGAATAACCTGTCAGTGACGTTTCCTGTGCATGCAGCTTTGACGAAGCTAACAGTATATAGGTCCCCAGAGGTTGACATGGACGTTGCTCGAGACGAGATCGCGCGCGCTCATCGTCTCGCACCAGACATTGTTCCCGCAGATCCCCCCGAAGAGTCATTGAGCTATATTATCGGTATTCGACCGTCAAGGCAGGGCGGGTTTCGCTTGCATTCGGAGCAATTGGGCCAGCGGACAATCTTATCAGCTTATGGATTCGGAGGAGGCGGCTATGCGTTTTCGTATGGTATAGCAGAAGCGCTGTTAACGATGCTGGGCAAGTGCGAGAGAGAAAATGTCATCCTATAATATCTCTATGTTAACTTTGAGAAGCCTTTAGGAAGAATCACAGAGCAATATAGGGTTGTAGTTGCTACTGCTGCGACCCTGTGCATGTAAGCGTAGGCAGTGTGCCTTAGGCTGACCACAATGCCTAAAATGCCATGTGATACCAGCCTTAAATTAGTGGCCTTCTCCATCTCCCATTCCAGATCCAGTTGCCGTGTCCCCACAGCACAGCGACAATGGCAATGACACGTCGGCTAAGATTACTACTGCTATGGACTCCCAGACTTCCAAGAACTTAAACTTTCACCTAAGTTCGACCCCTGCTGACCACGTTGAGTTACATTGTCGATGCGATTCTTCGTGAATCTTTTGGCGTCAGCGGGTCCTCCCGATGGAGAATCCCTGACACATTTTCAGGCTCAAAACAACGAAATTTACTCCAACTCGAATCAGACTCGTCTCAAACCAGCGCTTCCAAGCTTTTGGCATGTTCCGTTCAGGAACCTGGATCCACCCCATTACGCACTCAGCCACCCGGTAGCCAGGCGCGCGGAACCGGATAGGCAGACTATACTCCGTATTCTACTTCTGATAAGGACATGGTCTCGTACAGTTACTACCCACATAACTTATCAAAATTCGAGGCGACCAGGAGTGCTCCCAAGGAGATCAGGTGTGCATATGGTCTCGAAGGTCTCGGCCGAGTCCTCTCTAGTGTGGAAGGAATGTCACACACGGTATGTCATCATGTCATCAGCCCTCTTGATCTGCTGAGCTATCGGCATCCGGTGATCGCCGGGGTAATATCGCCTCTTGCTTTGAAGTGATTGAGGAATGCCAATATAAAAGTTGGATTGTGGGAAGGAAAAAGCACCAATGTTGGGTTCGGTCGTCGAACCCAACGAGTTCACGACTCACGAGTCAGATGCAAGGGATCTGTGCGGCTAGGTTGCTTGATCGGGTTTAGTGGAATTGTCATGGGTAGAATTTTTGGGTATTTCCCGGTTTCGGGACTTCAAAGCCGACTAGATGAGCCAGATGTGATTGCATTAAAGCGATTAAAGTGCAGGGGACACCGAAAATGGACGAGTAGTGTAGAGATCTAGGAAGTATTCGCCTCTCTCCAGAGGCACACAAACAATCTTCAGCTTACAGAGGTACAGGGGGGCGAAGAACTAACTATTTCTGATTTGAGACTCTTTCCCATCATAGTATTGTGTGGGTCCCCAGCTTAACTCTGGTAGATCCGTTCCAGATGCACACAGAATGACAAAAAACAGGTTCCTGTACCGCTATTCCTTTCCCCGCAGCCGGCTGGAACTTCTTTCCAGCCAGTGGCTACACAGCAGAATGGCAAAACAGTGCAAGCGTGTAAGATGAGTAAGAACTCTTTCTCAGTGCGCTGCTGCGATGACGTGGGTGGTAGTAGTCTACCGCGATTTATGCGACTGGTGAATGGAATAATATACTGATGGGCCTACTGGCCTGCAGGCCTGCAACTGGTTCCTTTGGAATGGCCTTGACCAATTTCAAATCCACAATAAACAGGGGTCAAATTATTATCCTTATTTGCCTCTTGAGTGTCAGAACTGACTAAGTTAAGAATATTAGTTAGTTACCAGGTACTAAACTGGGTGACTAGTTTTATGTGGGGGCGGCGAAGAACCATCGTCTGCGACTTGTGTTTCTACTCTGCGTCTTTCTCATCATACCTTTCCACACTCCACGTGCATCTACTGACAATCATCTGCTGACCATTATCTATCGTCGTCTGGGTGAGTGAGTGGACTAGTCCAAAATCCTGCTCGCAATTCTCATCTATCGTCCGCTCGGCCGGTTCTCGATCCTGTTTCGGACCTCCTCGGTTGCGCCACAGGGGGAGGAAGGCAAAAGGCAGAGAGCCACAGCACAGAATTGGGAAACTGAAAAACAATACTCTCCTCATGCGTGTTCTGAAGTAGCAAGTTCTCTGTTAGCTTCTTTTCTGCTATTACCTCGCTAGCCTAGTTGTGGGGGATTCAGCTAGCCAAAATGGCCCTCGACAAGGAGCTCCTTCAACTTCATCTCGGGGATGGCCAGCAGCGACCCTACAAGCCTTCCACGGTCGCTACTCCTCCCGATGAAGAGCAGCTCAATCTTGAACGCAGTGATAAGGATACAGCTAAACCGTCTCAAACTCCACGCTGTGACGCTCCGCGCGACGCCCACGCAGAGGTCGTAGAGAACGACACTTCCTCGCTGAATCGAATTTTCCGCTTCACTCCTGTGCCGACCCTCGTCCTCGACTCGTCCTTGCGCGTGATGGAGGTGTCGGAGAGCCACCTTGCTTTCTGCGGAAAGTCTCGAGACTTCGTGCTGGGTGCCTCCATCTACGAGCTTCCACTCGCCACTATACCTGCGCCAGACATTCCCACTTTGAACGGTGCTTTGCACGTGGCGATTACGACTCGGGCTGTCCAGGTTATCGAAACTATCCACCTTCCCAGAATAAGCTCTTATTTTTCACTGAAAATCACGCCCATCTTCCAGGGAACTACTCTGCTAAACCTAGTCTTGGAAGCGCACAACGTCACGAGGACGCATAGCGAGTCGCTGCATAATGCCTACATCAATGAGACTTACAAGATCCTGGTTGACACGGTGCGAGATTACGCTATCTTCATGCTGGACGCGCGCGGCAACATTGCAACATGGAATTCGGGCGCTGCGATTATCAAGGGATATAAGGCGAATGAGATCATCGGTCGGCATTTCTCAGTCTTCTACGGACCCGAGGATCGGCTGGCGGACAAACCTGGCAAGGAGCTGGAATTGTGCCTACGGGACGGAAAAGTCGAGGATGAAGGCTGGCGGTATCGTCAGGATGGTTCACGGTTTTGGGCCAACGTGATGATTACACCCATCTTCTCATTCGGTCGGCACGTTGGTTTCGTCAAAGTCACTCGCGACTTGACCGAGCGCAAAGCGGCTGAAGCGCGGATGGTGGCAGCCTTTGAGGAATCATCCAAGATGAAGAGCGACTTCCTGGCCAATATGAGCCATGAGATTCGGACTCCCATGAATGGAATGCACCTGGCATTGACCATGCTGGGGAGCACGGAGCTCGACGCTCAGCAGCGTGAATACACTTCCATTATCGAGGATTCCATGTCGATCTTGCTTCAAGTGATCAACGACGTCCTTGATTATTCCAAATTATCCTCCGGCACCTTCTCTCTGAACACGGATGTCCTGAGCGTCGAGAATATTGTGGGAGCAGTGATACGGAATTGCAAGGCCTTGAACCCTGCCGTGGAGATCTCCTGTTCCATGCCCCCGGGCTTTCCAAAACTGCTCCGGGGTGATCCGCTTCGCTATCGGCAAGTGATCCAGAACCTCGTGGGAAATGCGATGAAGTTTACCGAGAAAGGCCATGTCAAGGTCACCCATCGTTTTGCAGTAGACGAGCACGATGCCAATATGTACACAATCACGACAGAAGTCACTGATACTGGCATCGGAGTGCCCGAAGATGCCATCAACACCCTTTTTACCCCATTCACGCGCTTTGCGGATTCGGCCACCAAGCGCTATCAGGGTACAGGACTTGGCTTGTCCATCTGCAAGAGCTTGGCAGAGCTGATGGATGGCAGTGTTGGTTATAAACCCAACCCCGAAGGAAAGGGTAGTTGCTTTTGGCTCGACGTGAGAATGCAAGCTGTCGACGTTCCAACGCATAGTAAGGACGCCTCCCCTGCTACCGCCGAAAGTACGTACGAACCCATAGAAGAGGTCAAGGGCATTGCGCCCCACATGCACATATTGCTGGTGGAAGATAATATGGTGAACCAAATCGTTATGCTGAAGCTCCTCAAAAGCCTCGGGTTCGAACGTGTCGACACGGCCTGGGACGGCTCGGACGCAGTCCGACAGGTGAGACAAACACCTCTCTCCTACAATGCAATCCTCATGGACATCAACATGCCGGTTATGAATGGACTCGAAGCAACGACCAAGATTCGTGAAGTGAACAGTGAGGTACCGATCATAGCACTCACCGGGAATGCGCTCAAGGGAGACGCGGAGACGTACCTTGCCAGAGGCATGAACGATTACGTCGCCAAGCCGGTTCATCGCAAGCGGCTTGTGCAGTTGTTGTGGAAGTGGCTCGGTTCGTGAGCAACTATTCTCCTGGCCTCGCTGGCCGGTGGCTCACCCATTGGGACAAGATCTGATTGTCCTGTTATAACTTAGAGTGGGATTGGCTGCTCCATCCTATGCCCGCACCCAATCTACCATAGCTCTCGCCCTCAAGTGAGCGGTCTCTCGCTCATACTAGGCGAGGCCCTATCTTCGGTCAGCTTTGAACTATTCGGCTATGCATCTTTCGTAGCCTCATCAATCGCCAAAAGAAATGGCCCTGGATGGCTATCAGCCTCTCGACGGAGTATTCACGTCCGCATATGTTGACCATTCACACTACATTCTTTCGCAGACCCTGCATACTCTACTCTTTTCATTATTTTGCCTCTTTGATCACAGGCTAGCCATCAATCATTCCATCATAATAAAGTGGATCGTCCCGGAGATGGATTCAGTTGTCGACTCGGGTTGTCCGGCTGGGTAACACAGGAGTTTGACCAGGTTTGACGGATGGTCATAGAGACCTATGGAACGAGGCTATATCCGCATGAGAGGAATGTACGGCTAGCGAGCAATTGTTCTAGACCGTGATAGCACTAAGCATCCTGTCCGGCCATGTCACGATACTATTGTCGTTTGTCTATCAGGCCGCTACCCGAGTCGGGTTTATTCATGTAGCACGAATTGATGGCATTCAATGGTGACATGAATTGATGAGTATCGTTCTACATTTAATCCGTCCGTTGTACCTCTCCTGTCCTTTTATTGTATTTGCCGTGTCACACGACTGTGCATCTGTAGCGCCATGTACTTGCTCGGCTCCAATATTTGCATCTGCTGAGGGTAGCCTCTTCAACAATCCTCACCACAGCGGCGACAGCATCTGGATGAAGCGCAATCCTACACCATCCTACATCCCGCTCCTTCAAATCAGCGCGTCCGTTCCTGTAGTGCTTCGACCCTCACTCATGATCAAGTCGATCTTTACCTATTTGCCCGTGGGTGCGGACTAGATCGGCGGTGGGATTGAGCTTTAGCTCGACCCGAGAAGGTAGAACCTCCTGAACTACAGCATCAATTGGTGCGTTGAGTTGCTCGCGAAAACTTGTTTACGCTTTGCGCATGCTTCTTCATGGCTTATCTTCGCGGCGGCTGTATACCCAGGCTATGCTTACCAGACGGTCAATGCCGCATATCCCATTCAAGTCGGACAACCTTGTTTACAGACCAGTGTCTTACCTCGTGTCTGTGCGCGAGAGGTGAACCTGATCGCCTGTATTTCAACTGGTTGAAGATATGAAGATCGTGGTTGTGGATTCTTCACGTGTGCTTGGGCAAGTCTCCCGGAGGCACGGAAACAGCTGCGCTGGTAACTGACTGCATGCATCTTCAATCACAGCCTTGCCTGTTGTCTCGGATATTTGAAGGACGGGATGTAGTAAGCTTCAGCTAGCCTTCATTCCCCGCTGCGGTACAACGCCATGAACGAGGAGAAACGCGGTATCACACATCCGATCCGGGTAGGACACAATCCCTGGTTGATGTCGATCGACATGATAACAGGAGCTGATCCTCCATCTTAGCATGTGCTCGATTCTAATAGCTCCGCTCTGTGCCAGTGCTAAGCTCCACTGCAACGTTCCATCATAATAGTCAACATCAGGGTCTAATGCATGATGGGCATGGTATGCGAGTCGTGCGGGGGTTGTCGATGTCGATCAGGAGAGATGGGTCCAACATTTATATGAAGCGGTTCCCCAGGCCGGCTTGCTGGGTACACACAAGCTATTCTTGCGCCGAACAATGCGATTCTCACACGTACTCCTAGGAGCTGCAGCTGGAGCTGGCGTGCTGGCTAGTCCCACCCCGAACGACTATGTCGTGCATGAACGTCGTGCTGTCCTACCTCGCTCCTGGACGGAGGAGAAGAGACTGGATAAGGCCTCTATCTTGCCTATGAGGATTGGTCTCACTCAGTCTAACCTAGATCGCGGTCATGACTTGTTGATGGAGGTGTATGTGACTTGTCTGAACTTGGGTGTATTCGTCGTTGATGAGAGGTAGATCTGATCCCCGCTCGTCTCGCTATGGACAACATCTCTCCGTCGAGGAGGTCCGCAATCTCTTTGCTCCGAGCCAGGAGACCGTCGATCATGTTCGAGCATGGCTTGAGTCTGAGGGCATAGCCGGCGACCGCATCTCTCAGTCCTCGAACGCGCAATTCCTGCAATTTGACGCGAGTGCAGCGGAAGTTGAAAGGTTATTGGGTACTGAGTACTATCTTTATACACATCAAGGTACAGGAAAGTCACACATTGCTTGCCGGGAGTACGTGTTGGCCTTCTCCCCGAGTGATAAAGCATGCTAATCATGCAGGTACCATGTCCCCCACTCATTGCAACGGCATATCGACTACATCACCCCTGGCATCAAGCTACTAGAGGTGGAAGGAGTCAAGAAAGCTCGGAGCATTGAAAAGCGTTCATTGGGAAGCCCGCTACCACCAATTCTTGAGCCGCTGAACCTATCTTTGTCCGAGCTGCTGGGTAATACATTATTGTGTGATGTGGCTATAACGCCACTGTGTGTATCAGGTATTTCTACCGTCGCAGTGCACGACTTACCTAACTTAAGATAGCTCTCTATAACATTACTCGCGGCTCAAAGGCCACCAAGGGCAATGAACTGGGCATCTTTGAGGATCTAGGGGATGTTTACAGTCAAGAGGATCTCAACCTGTTCTTTTCAACTTTTGCACAGTATGTCAGCTCCTGCTGTGTCCTGTCATGGCTAACCCGTCCAGGCAAATTCCCCAGGGCACTCATCCCATCCTGAAGGCCGTCGACGGCGCTCAAGCCCCAACCAGCGTGTCCAATGCAGGGCCAGAATCCGACTTGGACTTTCAAATCTCGTATCCCATCATCTGGCCGCAGAACTCCATCCTTTTTCAGACAGATGATCCAAATTACACAGCAAACTACAACTTCACTGGCTTTTTGAACACCTTTTTGGATGCTGTCGACGGATCCTACTGCAACGAGATCTCCCCTTTGGACCCGCCGTACCCCAATCCCGCCGACGGCGGCTACGAAGGCCAACTCCAGTGCGGCGTCTACCAGCCCCCCAAGGTCCTCTCCATCTCGTACGGCGGCGCCGAGGCCGACCTCCCCATCGCGTACCAGCGCCGCCAGTGCGCCGAGTGGATGAAACTCGGCCTGCAGGGCGTCTCCGTCGTCGTCGCATCCGGCGACTCCGGCGTCGAAGGCAGGAATGGTGATCCCACTCCTACTGAGTGCCTCGGGACGGAAGGTAAAGTCTTCGCCCCGGACTTCCCAGCCACCTGTCCCTACCTCACCACCGTAGGCGGGACCTACCTCCCCCTCGGCGCCGACCCCCGCAAGGACGAAGAAGTCGCCGTCACCTCGTTCCCCTCGGGCGGCGGGTTCAGCAACATCTACGAGCGCGCAGACTACCAGCAGCAAGCCGTCGAGGACTACTTCTCCCGCGCCGATCCCGGGTACCCGTTCTACGAGGGCGTCGACAACAGCAGCTTCGCGGAGAACGGCGGCATCTACAACCGGATTGGACGCGCGTACCCGGACGTCGCAGCCATCGCGGACAACGTCGTTATCTTCAACAAGGGCATGCCGACGCTTATTGGCGGTACCTCTGCTGCTGCGCCGGTGTTTGCGGCCATCCTGACTAGGATTAACGAGGAGCGGCTCGCGGTCGGCAAGTCGACCGTGGGATTTGTGAACCCCGTGCTATATGCGCATCCCGAGGTGTTTAATGATATCACGCAGGGGAGTAACCCGGGCTGTGGCACGCAGGGGTTCTCAGCTGCGAAGGGATGGGATCCGGTGACGGGGTTGGGAACTCCGAATTATCCAGCACTTTTAGACTTGTTCATGAGCCTGCCGTAGCTTTCTGCTCTGGAGGTATGCGATATAGGTAACAGATGTAGCGTGCCCCATCTCCAGGGTATGAGGCAGACCATTAATAGAACATGACTGGTAATAAGTGTGTTTTAGAATAGGCACATAGTTAAAGTAGAAGAATAAAAAACCTAGTAGTGTATTAAAAGGTACTGCTGCTTAAGGGCATATTAATGTATTTAAGCTTAAGGACTTGGTTGTTATTACTAGAAGTTAATTAGTTAGTATACATGTAGACTTTTTACCCTCTTACTATAAGCTCATTTTAATAATCAATATCCTGACTATATGAGTAATTCAATATCCTGACTATATTATATTCAATATCAGTGTAGTGCGTGCGACCGACCATAAGGAGGGCCGGAGTGGTAAGATGCAATCATTGTAAAGGACCAAAAGTTCCTTTTGTACAAATAGTCCGCCGGAAAAGCTGCCTTCATTCAATTTCCAGGCCATCGTCTGTCCTACGTGGAGCGATGTGTCAGGTCGGCCACGATGGACTTGCAGAGTAGGGTCATATCACGACTCTCTACCTCGCCATTGTCGTCTCGTCAGCGTTACATAAATACAGGCAGTACAGACATCCTCGACGGGAGCTTGTTGAGCAGCGAACCAGGCCGCATAGATGCTGTTGACCCCGCGAGCGCGGCCCCTGCCATAACAGTAAGAGAGCTCGGACTGGTTGATGGTGCGATAAGCGTAGCTGCAGCTGGAGGAGTGGACCCAGGCAAATGATCAGACCTTTCCATGGGGTTGCTTGGTGTCCTGGCGTGGGCTGTCTGTGTAGGGCGGTCGGTGGTCACAGTCCCACATGACGAGGTACTTGCCCCTGCCCCTCTGAGGATGAAGAACTGCTATGGCCCAAGCATACCATGGCCAGGCGTCCGATTGAAGGTCCCCGACGTAGCTCCTTCGTCCAGGAGCTGAAGAGGGCGACCCATGTCTTATTGCCAAACTTGTCTGCGCGCCACCAAGAAGACGACATCTCGCGGCAATTATGATCGTCGTCAGGCAGGGCCCACGCCCAGTTGACCTTGTCTCAATCCTTGGGGAAGGTGACTGGCTTTGGGTGGACGCAGGCAGCGTTGGAGCGCCATTGAGCTCAACCAGGAAGGCGCTGAGGAAGGCTAATATCGACATCGGGTCGATCAAGGATCCAACCAGCGGTGCCAGCGCCGGCTACTTGCAGTCAATAAGAGCAGCCTGATCATCGGCATTCATTTCCGGTATTCGTTGGCAGCTGGAGGCTGGAATGAAGTTGTAGTGCGGTCAGAAAGTGGTGTGCGGCGGGTTGTCGGCAAAGCTTTTGAGGTGTCAGATTTTTCTGACGGCGCTGATCTCCATGCCATTATACATGCATAGGCTTCTAATCAGTTGTTAGTCTTCATGCTTTGAACAGTGAGACGGGATGCTTGCGTGGTTCGCCAGGTTTCCGGTTGATCAAGTGGCGATCGTCGGAGGCGTACTTGATGCAGAAACAGGAGCAGTCTGAGGACCAGTCGTGAGTGTAATCGTATCAGGCATAGCCACAATGAAATGCAGACCATGGCAGGAATAGGCGCAGAAGTGGCCATGGCTTGGAAATGTATTCAGGACGACTCGAAGCGATGAGAAGACTTGCCAAGGATGCATCGCTGTCATGGATTATAAATATATGAGAAGCACTCGAAAAGAGGTGGCTGGATGATCATTTCAGCCACTTGCGCATGTTGAGATGAGGAGATTCAAGAAAAGCATTGGATAGACAAGGCTTAATTTTGGACCGTATGGTAAACCGAGAAGTAGGTTGGAACCTTTGGATCAGTTTGGAGTAGCCTAACAGGCAGGCAGACGAGCAGTGTGAAGAGCAGTTATGGAAGTAGTTTGAAGGTATCATTCATCTCAGCATCATTGGTGTCGTTGAGATGACTAGGGATTCGTATTCTTCCATAACGGTATTAGTTTTCGTGGTGGTGGATGTAGTAAGACGAGTGGATATGGTCAGGGAAGTACGAGTGGATGAGATGCAGCGGCAGCTTGGTTCTATGTTTGCCAGTCTGCAGTCATCATCCTTTGAATACTTAAACAGTCTTACCTGGTTAACCAGACCACAAAGCACTAAACAGGTACAACAAGATGGCGAACAAGCTGGAGACTAAATAAAAGCGAGAAAGACAACATAATAGACAATAAGATAGACAACAAGATATACAGAAGACAAGCGCAAGATAAACACCTAGTTCGACCACCACTGTTATGGCTGAAAGACAGATAAGGAAGGGGTTGAGTAAGTGTCTTTGGTAGGGAAGGAAAATGGAAAAAGAAAACAAAAAGAAGAAGAATTGCAGGATGGAACCATAATGTACAATAAACAAGGACCTATTAAATTTTTGTTTCAGTTGGTAGATAGGTGTCATACTCTACAGAGTATGGTTCCATTTCAAAATTGAAGGTGGAATTTGCTTCTGCGTTTTTTTCTGGGCGGCGAGGGAGGGAGAAGGTAAAAACAATGATGAAGATTGCAAGAGTGGTGTGATGAAGCAGTATGAAGAGAATAGATGAATGGTAATAGACAGCGAAGAGAATGGAGAAGAGAGGGAGAGGGTTGCATCATGATTTTCGAGAATTGTGGCTAGAGGGAGGAGCTTTCAAGCACTGTTGAAACTTTAGTTAGTATATATCAGTAATTGAAAGACCATACATATCACTTACGTCCTCTGTCATAACAGTAGCAGAGCTTGTAGGCGTCAATGGTGTGGTTTGCTTGTACTCCTCGCACCGTCCATTCTTTGATGTACAACCGAGCCCAGGTCCGACAGTGTATCAGACGTCATGTCGTTACCGCGGTTTCGGCTTCTGGTTTGGGCCGTCGTGCTTGGATATGAGGCGGTCGATACATTGGAGGAACGGACCAGCAAGCAGTAGCGGAAGGCGATGGTAGGTAAGAGAGTGGAAAATCGAGATAGGCAGCAGAGAAAACGGGAGGAAAGAAGCAAGAGGGTTGTCGTCGTGGACTTTTGTATGGAATTCTGAGATCATGGCAGAACAGTATGAAGGCATACTAGCATAATGCAAGAGGGCAGTTTGGTAACCGCAAGACAAAGGAATGACTGGGATGATGCAGCGCAGGGAGACAATTTGGCATTATAGAGGAAAGAAAAGGCAATTGGGTAGAAGATTGGCGTACAGCCATAAGACATGGGATGTTGGTAAGCGCGCGAAACTTTTGTTCAGCAAACCCTGAGGGGTGAGCAATGTCCTGCTCATCGATATCGTCGAGTTTAATCATATTGATCTGCCGGTTTTTTTTTTTTTTTTTTTTTTTTTTGGCAGTCACTACTCCAGTGTTTCCCTCCGCAGTATCGGGCGTGCGGTCCTGGAATGACTGCCTGTGGCCCTGGTCTCCTTCTCTACCACCTTATCATCGGCCTTGGGTGTGTTATCTTGGGGAGATGTTTGGTCATTGTGGTGGTTTCAGCTTCTGGTTCAGTCTGTCGTCCCGGCTTGGGTAGGAGGTGGTCAATATATTGAGGAGTGTACTCATGTATAGTGACAGCAGAAGTAGCATGCTTAATAGCTATGTTATTTATTAGTCATCCCTCTTCCTTTAGATATTGACATGAATACTTACGTGGTTGGTCCACGGCATCTAGTATAGGTTATAGATAGCTCTGGTTTCGTACCGCAAACTGAGCTTTGTTGGATGCATTGATGATTGATGAGGTATTCAAAGCCATGGAAGATTGAAGTGGTCCATTATGTGGCGCCAGCCCACAGAGTTGCTTGGGAATCGGAGGAGTTATGAGAGCATTTGTAAGCAGTCAAGGAGTTGGAGGATTGGTCTCATGAGTAGTTGAGCACAGTTGAGGGATAGTTGAGGAAGAGGTGAAGGGAATAGTTCATAAGAGTAGTTAAGGGAACAGTTGAGTGAGAAGTTGAGAACAGTCAAGGGAGTGGCTGAAAGGAGTCGAGGGAACACTGGAGGGAGAAGTTGAGTGAGAAGTCAAGGGGATAATTTGTAAGAGCAGTCAAGGGAACAATCAAGGGAATAGTTTGGGAGACAGTCGACGGGAAATCGACGGATAAGTCGAGGGAGAAGTGGTGGCAGGGAGTTAACTGATTGTTGGAAAATTGGCCTTTAACAGCAATGCTATTAACATGCTGACGACCAACCTCCAGCAATGACTGCTGAGTTCTCAAACTCAAATGCACTAATGGCTGTCGACATCAATGCTATTAACATGCTGATAGACCGACTCTTGGTTTGTCAGCCATGGCCCATCAGGCCTAAATATGTACGTGCGGCCTTCAGCAGCAATGCTATTAACATGCTAACTAATCAACTTTCCAGCAATGACTGCTGTGTCCTCAAGCTTAAATGCATCCGCGTGGCCTTCAGCAGTAGTACCTTTTAATACACTGACAGGCTTTACATTATTCTGCTCCAGAGAACTACCTCTAAGCTACATCAGTATCACAATCTGGTATTCTGGATTGACTTAGTATTATCTGCTGCCTTCTCATCTGCCAGATCCTCAGTGCTTAAGAATGGCTTGACTCTGCACTTGTTTTCATGGCCACCAAGGCCTCGACGCTGTTATCAATACCATGAACTCTCTGAAAATAGGACCGGCAAGGTTTTAACCCATCTGTAACTTTGCCTTTCCAATGAAAGGCCTGAAATGTCACGTCCGGTGATCCCTGTGCTGGCTGATATTGCGCTCGATCCGGAGGGATCTTCAATGTATACCTTCTTTGATAGCAGTTGCCGCACCAAAGCTCAGTGTTTCCCCCTAATTCCGCCAATGCCCACCTTGAGCTGTATAGTGTTTTGCATTTTTCGCATCGGCATTCCTTATCTTGAACTTGCTCTCGCGTTATGGGAAGCTCATCGGCCCACACATGACAAATCTGGTAACATGCGTCACAGAGCCATTCTTTGAGGTCTTTTTCCCATCTTTTCTCTTTGAAAACGCGCTTGCAATGGTAGCATGTCTGGGATATTTCTTTTTTAGCTTTGTCGAGTAATTCAGTAGGCTTTCTCTTCATCTCCTTACCACACTCTATCTCACGTCTCTCTGCGACGGCACATGTGTGACAGACGAACAGTTCGCGATTCTTTTTTGACCACTGCCAGCACTTAGTATGGCCTTCACGTTCACATATGCTGTATTTATTTGAGCCTTTTGGTACTGGATTTCGCACCACTTGTCGCTGAAAATTCTCCTTATGCTTGGAGTAGTAAGACGAATAGCACGGCATGCATACCAAGTTTATTGAGCGATTAATGTTCAAGGTTGTCCACTTTGTCCCGTCAGACTCGGTCTTGCATAGGTAGCATACCTTGTGCTTAATGTCCTTCGGCATGATTTTGACATAGATACCTTATTGCGTCTCCTTCTGTCAATTCGTGCGAGGCTTGTGATAGGCTGGCCCTGATGTCTTCGAATGGCATTGTATGAGGGCTAGGTACCTCACACATGATCAATGTTCCTTGGTTAGTCTTACGAAGGTGTGGTTGTCTTCCCACAGACCGGTGATAAGAGTCATCCCTAGATGGAGATGATTACCTTGTTACCAAAGAAAGAAGCCTATTGTAGCCTTTGCCTTCCAAGCAGATGATGATGTATTAAAAAATAGTATGCACTGACTGATAAACATGTTCAAGACATTATTGCTACACCTGATCTGCAACAGTCGTTTCATATGATAGCATCCAGTTCTGTTGTCTATTTTCTATTTCCTTCTCTAGTGCAGATTCTTCCTTATTTCAACAATGCTCTGGCCGGGCCTAGACAAGACCAGATGTCTCATCGCGCTCGATTACCTGAATATCGCACTCTTTTGCCGCTCTAATACCTATCCTCTCGCCCATCGGACGCCTTGTTCATATGTCTCAGAACACAAACTCATCGCTGCTGTATGTTGACCAGGGTTGCAACACAGGTAGAAGCTCGGAAAGGACAGCCACATTGTGCAGATAGTAACCGTACATTATTCCACACTACGGCCGTGTACTGACCGCTGGTGTCCGTCCAGATCGCTAAGAGGAAGACTACACATCTGCGAAGCATGGCTCCTCCCCTCTTAACTCCCACCGACTGGACGCTGCTGCCTATAGTACTGCCCAGGCCCTGTATGTGCAAATGGTAATATCAGAATAAGATGGCACTGGGTTGTGGCTCCTATTAAAGCAGGCGTCTAGAACAGTGTGTTGTCTGCTGCATGACCTTGGCGGTGAACTGGCGGCTCTATGTGATCTATATAGAATCTAAGGACTTAATAAACTTCATCTTAGCATGCTTTCAGACCTTATTAAACTTTAAGTAGGTTTGTATTTAACACCTGCTTATAATATATAGTATATAGACTAAATGTGATATCATCATAGAGTAGGGATATTAAATTATTACATGCTTAGGTATTGCTCCGTATAGGTAGAATTTATATAAATATAGAAAGTTATGAGATCATATATTCAAACTATAAATATCCAAGTATGGTAGTATTTAATATCCCTACTATATGATGATTTAATATTAAACCTAGTGTATATATTAAGGTATAAGCAGGTGTTAAATACGAACTTAAAAGTTTAACAAAGTCTTTGAATTTTTTCTGAGACCTCGTTGAACCTTTCTGACACTTTAGCTCCAGCAAGGTCTCGGGATATCTGGGGTAAATTGAGACCTTGCTGAACTGTAACCCGTTTTAAAATGTGATCTTTAAAATGTGTTCTTTTATGTTCACATATAAAAGTTGATTAAGCGAGCACAGTACGCAGCGGGTTTCTTTCATGAATTGATGCTGTGGTTGTTCAGCTACGAAAACTTCGGTCCGTTACTGGGTAGTCATCTCATGGATATCATTTTTATGTACCACTCTATACCCTCCCCAAAAGAACATATATACATCAATCGTCAGGCATGACATTTACATAATAACCTTGTGGGTGGCGGGCTTCTCCTCCTCCTCGCCGAAGATGTTGATATCCCAGCGAGGCTTGTTGGCAATGTAGGGGATGTTGAAGCGGCGGGGCTGCTTGCCGAGAGCAGACACCCTCTCGACTTCCTCGGGAGTAAGCTCGATCTCCTGGAAATTAGATCTGATGCGTTCTGGGGTCACGCTCTTCGGAATGACACTGTGGCCACCGACCTGAGACCAGGCGAGGATGACCTGAGCGGGGGAGACTTCCTGGCCGAGTCTCTTGGAAACGTCGGCAGCAACCGCCTTGACCTCGTCGCTGGCGATCAGGAGAGGGAGACCGAGCATGTTGTTACCAAAGGCCTATAAAAATCAGCCGGCTGTTGACAACGATCAGTAGGGAAAAAGATGGCATACCGAGTAGGCAGTGACATGGATGCCCTTCTCCTTGCAGTAGGCAATCAGCTCGTTGCTCTGCAGACGAGGGTGGCGTTCGATCTGGTTGACAGCGGGAACAACACCAGTGGCCTTGATGATGGCCTCGAGCTGTAGGGTGTGAGCCACTGTCTCTCAATTGTGGTGCCGGTCACTTACATGCTCAACTGTGTGGTTGGAAACACCGACGGCGCGGACCTTGCTCTTGGGGAGCTTGATCATGGCCTTCCAGGTGTCAACAATGGAAATGCTGTCATCGATTTCGACATCGCCCTCGGGGATAGGGCTGTCCTTGACGAGAGGGAAGTACTCGTCGCCACGCTTAAATGAGGTAGACCAGTGTACTAAGTAGGCGTCTAGATAGTCGAGTTCGAGCTCAGCAAGGCAGTCATCGAGAGCCTTCTCAACATCGTCGGGGTGATGCTGGCTGTTCCATAGCTTGGATGTCTGCAATTGTTAGAATGGCGTCAAGGCGATTCCGGTGATTGAGCTCCACGTACGATGAAGAGGTCCTCACGCTTGAGGCCGGGGATGTCCTGGAAGGCTCTCTTGATACCCTGCGCGACTTCACGTTGATTCTGGTAGCTGACCAACTTGTCAGTATGGATGAATTCTGGATTATTGTAGAACCTACATAGTCGCGAGATCCTGTATCAAATTAGTGGTTTATACTTCAAATAGTGTACTATAGGAGCTATGTGTACGTACCAGGTGACGGTAACCAGCCTTCAGAGCGTGGTAGACAGCCTCACCGACCTGACCGGGGGCAGATTGCCAGGTACCGAAACCCAGCTGACTGTTGTCTCAGGGGTCAGTTATTGACTATTGGCAGTTCCAAGGACGAGACGGAAGGCAAACATACGGGATCTGAGCACCGGTGTTGAGAGTGACCTTCTTTCCGAGAGACATTGTGATGGGCGTGCGGGTTGAACGTGTAGTACTTTGAAGTGAGGGTATCAAAAGAGACGCAACTAGGGGAGAAGAGACAAATGGATGGAATCAGAGAGGAAGAAGAGGATAGAAATATCCAGGGACAGCTCTGGGAATCGGAGGTGTTCCGGTGGGGGTTCGATGGGAACCTTGACGACAGCTAGCCTAAGACGCGAAAGTGTGGCCTTTGCGTATTATGGGATCCTAATTCGAAACCATTGCCATAGTAATCAGCAAGAATGATCCTATCATTGTCCTCAATTTGGCAACCCCCAAACCCCGCCATGCCCCACTGAGGGGTTCGAAAGCTTTCCAGCGTGGGATGTCGTGTTTCGATGACATATGGACTCTTCTTAAGTTGTTAGGTTGTCATAAGACTAAGAAGCGTCTGATCAGTGGCAGCTCTTGAATTATATTGCGGGCATTTGCAGTACAATACTCTAGTCATCTTTTCACCAAGTTATTTCTCCATCGACAATAATCATTCTCTGGTAGAAGCTCAGTTCAGGGCATCGTTAGGGGAAGAGCGGGATGATGTCACTGAGGCAGACCAAATTAACCGTGCCTGCCACGTGACCTGCCCGCAGGATAATTTCCTCTTTCTGTGGTCCAATCAGTGCCTCGGCTTTCCTTGAGACTTATCTTATTCTCGGCCCTTCAGCGAAAATCGGTTAATTCCAGTCGATCCTAGCTGGAAAATGTCGTTCACAGCGGACAATATCCATCGCTTTTCCAAGAAACCAGACTTCTACTCCGCATATCCAAATGCCTTCGGTTGTTGACGGTACACAGAGCTGTGCGAGAAAGGGTCGTCAGGCAGTTCAGCTGACGTTGACGAGGGACGGATGCCAGGGAGGGTACAAACTACAAATACCCGGATTGATCCAAAAATCCTTACTGCAATTATCTCTCGCAACATAGCTGATTGCCGTCCTATGTCTTCCAGTCTTAAGACCATCACTACCTGCGCTGTCGGCGCGGTACTGGCAGACTAGCTAGTATCTTCGGGCCCGTCCCGAATGGACACGGGGTCGTTTGTCGAGACCCGGCGATCCGTTCCGGATCATTTAAAAATGGAAACATGTGCATGTCAACACACCTGTTAGGCCATCTATTGTTTGATACTGCCCGCTCAAAGAGAAGACAACCGGATGATATAGCATTGTTTTTGAATTCTTAACTGTAGGATTGTTGTAGGTATGATGTTCACCTCACGGCATACGAAGACGTCATCTAGAAGAGAAAAGACGAATAAATTTCATTCCTAGCAGGAGAGACGATGTTGACGCCGCTCATTGGAGGCACTATGACCACATATTTCCCACTTGAGTGATGTATGTACCTACAGTGCAACATAAACTATCCGTACTCATCATCCTATATAATTTCCGTCCTGCTCATCTCTAGCACATATGACCGTAGTCCATAGGGTGTGGAAAACAGGGCTTCCCATCCACTCAGCTGTACTTAAGCCATATATTAAACTGTAAACATGGTAAATTCTTAAAAAGCCTTCCTTGGCTAGTTTATAAGCTTAACTTAGAGTTATGCTATAGAAGGCGACTCTACTCCTTAGGTCTTATAGTTCCTGTTAGACTACGGCTAAGGCTGCTCTAAACTTAGCCTTAACCTTTTATAGCTTATCTCTGTGTAGTTCATCATATTTCCTGATCTCTCTTCTAAGCTTTATAAGCTTTTAAGCTCTAAAAGAAGCTTAAATACCTCCTAGTCCTCACTATCTATTATGATATTATCTAGAGGTGTTGCCTTATATCTTGTTGGTATATTACTTTAGTTTCTTAGCCTGCCTTGGGTCTTTCTTCCTAGCTAGGGGCATGTGTTATTCCTTTTAGCTTTATTTTCCTGCTCCTGAGCATATGTGTTTAGTGGTGCGGTGATGTATTTTAGTCTTATCATGTTTCAGGCTGTCCCACAAGGGGGCTGCCTACAGGCATGTTCACCCAATGGACACCAATGGGGTTGTCCGAGTCGTTATATCGCCTGTTGATTGTATTCCTGCTCCTATCATCGGTTGGCACAAATTCACCGGGTCGCTAGGACTATATTGCTGGCTTTGAAGAAGGACAAGCTGAATTATGGCGACGCAATAACTCTTCTTTCAAAATACCTATTTCCCGAACAGCTAGTTATAGAAAATGCTGAATTGGCAGAGGTCAAAGCATAACCTCGTTGGCTATCTATCGTCCATCTCTTCTGGTAAAGTTGCCCGTTGTACGGAGTAGTCCAAGTCAACTGGATGACTGTTGAATGGATGTGGCACAATCAACCCTGAAAAAAATCCTTAAACCTAGAGTCACCCAAAGAGTCGAAGTCTTCGCGGCGTACAAACCAGCAGCTCTCAGAGTACCTCTTATACCATGCTTCCAAAGCTGCATAGCCCTCAAGGATATCCTCATTAAAGAACTCCCTGAAAAGTTCCACAGCCGACAACAAGGCAAAATCCGCTAAATTCGGCGCACCCACCAGGCCAGAAACACTTATAGACTCCGCCTGTGCGTTCTCACTAACCCAGCGATCCAGTTTTGCCATCTCCCCCTTCCACTGCCTCCGGGAATATACAGAAGCCGCCGCCGACTGCTCCTCTTTGTTGATTCTACCCAGCGTCACCGCTAACTCCCGATTGTGGAAGATATCGTTCTGAACCCATATCATCACGTCAGCAACGAGCTGAACGATGGCACGTACGTGCGCCCGTAACTCGGGACAGCTCCCGCCAGAGAGATCATTGTATCCCTGAGAGGGGTGGTAGTACTCCTCGAGGTATTGGAGTACGGCTGTGGCCTGGTGAAGGATGCGAGTTGTGTCTCCGTCGACGATTCTCATAACCGGAAGGAGGGAGTTTGGAGGCTGGGGTTCGGTGTTGGGAAGAGCGAGGGTAAGCTTCCCGGCCGCCGTATCAATCTTGATCGGTACAATATTGAGAGGGCCATCCGGATTTTCTGGGCTGTGGAGAACTGTAATGGGCAGAGACTTTGCCTTCAGATAGTAAACCAGTTGCCCAGGGTAGAGGCCTCTCGGCCATACCCAGAGGGTCTGTTGTACGTTTCCCTTGGTCATGACCCGTAATAGAAAAAGCAGCCTTAATTCTTGATGAATTTTGCGACCACAATCTGCAGGTGAGGTTTCGGCAAAGCTTCTTAAGTGCAGGCTCTCATGGAAGTGTGAAATAACACATGACAGTAGAGCTGGAAATAACACATGACAGTAGAGCTGGAAACTTGTCTTGCAAGGGAGAGGATTGACTCTGCTCAAGGCATCTTCCCATACTCGTCATGACAAATGATTACAAATTATTGATGATAAATATTCGGCAAGGCTCTTTGCACCTACTCAGTCACTATACTGTGAGTATACTCGAGACCCGACCCGCATCTGCTTTCCGTGGCGAGACTACTCCACAATCTAAAAGCTTAATCAAAGAGTGTAACTGAGCCTAACAAATCAGATACAGGCTGTGCTAAAATTCCCATTGCACTTTCGTCTTGGCACTTGGGCTCGGACATAGCACTTGAGATTTGGGTGGCAAAGCTGGTTTCATAACTTCACTGTTTTTCCCCACCTTCTGCAACTAGTGACCTTGGCGGATATTGTTACCCTCAAAGGGCAGTGAACCACATCATGGGAGCTGACTTGTACTTCGAGATTCCCATACACTGAGAGAGAGCCCTTGACCGAGGAAGTCTTCTGCTGATCATTGTTTATTTGTCAGATTTAGTAATACCACTCCTCCTCCGGTCCTAACTCTATGACTAACTGTCAACAAATTCCAAGTGATTCGTTCGGCAAGTGGGCTAGAAGATGGGATATATGTCTGAAAGGATCAGATGTTCTCCATAAATTGCAAGTCGGTCACAAAACCTAATTCCATACTCTCGCTTTTTGAGCACAACTTATATCTTGGAACAATTTCAAGTTACAGTATCCCCTTACTGTCACCATGCCTTTCGCCCCCACCGACGACAAGCAAGAAATCTATTATAAATTGCACGGCAGCACTGGCCCGATCCTTATGATGGTCTCCGGTTATATGGGCATCATCGACATTTGGAAGCCTCTTCTTGCGCGCCTGAGTAATCGTTACCGCTGCGTTGTTCATGATAACCGTGGCTTTGGTCGGTCATCAAAGCCCGAATCAGCCAATGCATACAGCATCTCCCGGCATGCCGAGGACGTCAACTCTATTCTTATGGCGTTAAAAACCCAAGAAAAAATTGCTTTGGTGACTCATTCGATCGGTGGCAACATCGCTGCCGCTTACTGCCTGGCGCATCCTGAGCGTGTCGCTGCCATCATTTCTTCGGGAACGTACTTCGACGGCGTGCACGTCCGCCCATTTCTGCCTTTGGACACGCTCACATACCGTACGGACGAACCATCGCAAGTAGTCGCCTTTTATGCTCAGATCGGTTTGACGGACGAGATAGCTCTTGAGGCGGCTAAGTGGCCTGCATACGCTCGTTGTCACAACGCTAAGGCCTTACTTGATTTTAACATCGGAGATGGATATACCAGGATTAAGGCTCCCATGCTCCTCATTCACGGAGATCAGGATCTGGCCACGCCCCTAGAGAGTTTGGTAAAACCGATCCAACAAGCGGTCCCGTCGTGCTGGTTGCAAGTTTTGAAAGGGGTTAAACATTTCCCTCCCACGGAGGCGCCGGAGGAGATGGAGAAACTCATTGACGGATTTGTGTCGGAGCATTGTGCGTAGACGCCCTGTATCTTCGGTTCCAGTATATTCTACACCACGAGTCTCGGACATGTTTGTTAGACACTGAACAAATTATATCTATCTGTTTCTAGTTCATATGATCATGTGATTGGGGGAGGCTTTTGTTTGAGGAACCGCCATGGGGTGGACTATTTGACCCAGTAATTGTATAATTTCCACACAAAGGTTGATTGTTCACTGGTGATTTTAGTAATCAATACCTGTCGCACCACACTAAGCGCCATATACTTGCTGCGACACAACGATCCCATTGGATACATGGAATACATGTATGAGCTGTCCCACTACTACATTCACATTCTATGTTACCTTGTTTGTCTCAGATGTCGGTTTGTGCCAACCACTCTATAGTCTGATCGCCCATCAGAGGACTGGCACAGCCTCTGGAACATATATGGGAGAATCAGTGACGGTGCACAGCAGACCTCTTCAAGGTAGTTAATGCCATCCGCAGTAGCTCAAATCCGAACTAGCACATTATTTGCACAAAATTTTCCAAAAATCTGTGAGACCAGACATGGCTGGTGGACGGTCATAAATGCACGTTGACTCAGTTATCGTACTATGCTATCATGGATATGAAGAAAATATATGAGAATAAATTAACATGCTTAATGGCACAGAATATCAAAAAATAATAGAAGAGCATCATGGTCATCGGAGTCTGCTAACTGAACGAACATACTGGCAGTGGATCAATCAGTCTTGGGTTGCTAGCTGTAAATAATATGTACTTTAGTATAGAGGTAATAGGTCTAATAATTATATAGTTCCTTATGCACACTAATAATAAGGACCTTGATCTCAGCATATGACTGTCTAAGGTACTATAAAAATAGGGTAAATGAGTACTGTAAGGTCGGCTGTTAAGGTTGAGGTCAACTGGTAAGATCAGCGTGAATGGAGCAAGATAACCGTATATTGCCTTAGCAAAGAGAACTAATTGCAGAATTGCAGACACCCACAGTCCCACTCCAGCCGCGCCCTGCACTATAATCACACTAATTTTGAATAAAATTATATTTTTGAGGCTATTCCCTAGCCCTATATATCTAAAAAAATTCACGGTTCTAATCTGCTCTCTCTGCTAATTCATTTAATACCTTATTCCAGGCAAGCAAGCCTGCTGCTGAGGCTGGAGTAACTTGGTGTAATAATAAATAGCCAGGCGCCAGGTCTGGTTTACAGTATCCTATTCTCTTGCGAGACTGACAATTATAATAGTTTCTTCTATACCGGTAACGTAGTACTAGACCCAAGTGGAAAAGGTGTAGGGGACTTCCTCTAGTTCTGACAAGGTACGTACTCGTATATAACCCAGCCATGTCCCCCCTCATCCCCCCATTTACCCCGACGTCATTTACTCCCACCACCACCAACAACAATAACAATGAGAGAAGGCCTCGACCTCCCTGAGTTCGGGTACCTCCCATTCGACCATTTCGTCCTAGTAAGCTCCCCCGTTCCCCAGAACACATCCATGACAACAAGTCCATGCCTAGCTCTCCAACTGCCTAGGCAAACTGGGACGCGGCGTCCTCGCTCTCCCAAAATGAGCAGAAAAGAATCCTTGTCGAGAAATGGATCGCGTTAGGAAAATATGGGCGAAACGTATCTATCTACCCACCCACCCATTCATTCATTCAACGATCGCCATCCACTAACCAACCAACCCCAAGGACTACGCCCTCGCCACATTCGCAGACCCGACCATCGACCATATCCCCGCGGGGGTACCGCAAGACCTCCTCTCGGAGGAGGACCGCGCCCTCAGCAGCATGCTCTCCACCACGCTGTGGATCCGGACCTGGTTCGGCGACCCTACAGATAAGACGAGCCAAGAAGCCGCAGACACGGCGTACGCGCGACTCCGGAAGCCAGTCCTACAGCAGGGCCGCGAGAACTACCACATTTCCTGCATCCCCGAGGAGTTCGTCTTTGAGGACCGGGGGGAACTGAGCGCAGATGCCCAGCGGGGCTGGGATGTGATTGGGGGTGTTGCGGCCGGCCGTCCAGGGACTGTACCGGGGTATCTGGTTGCGGCGCTGATGCACTGCCCTGAGCTGTTTGAGGGGATGTCGGATGACGACTGGCGGCATTTTACGGGGAAGGAGCGGGCCGAGGAGCTGGCGGAGAGTGATCGGGCACAGAGTGCGCTGGTTCTTGTTGCGGATCGGAAGGCCTGTGAGGAGGGCTGGGTGCTGGTCCTGGCGGTGAATCATCGGGGGGAGATTCTTCCGTTTAGGGTGCGTGAGCGGGCCAAGGAGACGGCGCAGATTGCGGTGAATTGGCAGGAGGGGCAGCCTTAGTCGGAGATTGCGGATGAGGAGGATGAAGATGTGGAGTTTTACTTGGGGGGAGGGGATGGGTGGGAGTAGCTATGTGTAGTAGATTCCTGGATGCTCCTATGAGAGCTCCTATAAACATGTTCTATTGCACATGGCTACCTAGGAATGATGGGCATAGTGTCTTCCTCAAGTTCGAGGGTCCTTGCGTTGGACATATTGATACAGATTGACTGCCTCGTGGCCTGCTGAGGTCAAGGGAGACCATACTGCAGATCACTTTGCAAAATACACAAGCAGGAAAATCAGGAAACCAGTCCAGAAAACTATGTTATTAATCTAGGTATGGAAGCTAAAATCGACAGCATATTTATTTCTCTAAGCCTACTGGGTCATTGAAGCAGGCTGTTTCACACAAAATCGCTTCAGCCCCGCGCTTTAACACTGCACAGCAATGTGTTAGTGTCAGTCATGCACTCTTCTTTTCAACTAATAAGCTAGCCCGGAGCAAAAGAGGTTAATAATTAAAGCAGGCTCCAATTTCGAATTCCACAATATTATCTGGCCGGAAATCTTGACACGCAATCCCTAAGGCACGGGTTTCATATTTTACTCAAAACCTTAATTATGCTGGTTTCAGGAGGTAGAATCACATTTTCCGCCTCGCGTGTTTTCAACCCGCCACATTCAAAGGCTCAAAAAATGATCAGTTCAAGAGCTCTAATTCCTATAAGCCCGAATACTTTGTGCAATTAGGAGTTGAAGCCGCAGAATGGCTCCCTATATATTAGGTCTATACTATGGCGGCCAAAAACCTGCTGAAATCGCGCGCCTACCAAACCGCCCACCTTCAACCATCTATTCCATTATCAACCGAGCAGCTTTACAAGACAATCTTATACCAACCTACCATGCTCTGGTCGTCCGACATCAAGAAACAATGGGGAACATCAACGTATCATTCAATTTATTCAAGCGGATCCCTTTATTACCTACACATTGTTAGTAAACTAGCTCAGTCCCTCGATCTGCCGCCGAATGCCGCCGAACTAAACAAGGAGGCAAATATATCAATTGAACAAGTGGAAGTAAGCAGTGGCCTTCCAGGCGATAGGTAACAAGACGCTGTAAAACATGTGCCAATATATCAATCCAAATTATTATCCGCAGAATTGAGTATGTTGTCGAGATCCTCCTATTCTGCTGCTTCACGGCGAGATCCTTGCGTATGAACAACTCTAAGTCAGGGTCATAATACGCAGACGACGGGATACTGCCAATTTCACCAGTCATCCGCAAACGAAAGACTTTGTTTTGCCCCGTTGGTACCGCCAGCAATGTCCATGACAGTGTTGGACACGGAGATAATAAAGCAATGATGAGATGTGGAAAGTGGAAGGGCGACATTCGCCGAGTCCTTGCAGCCGGTCTTCGCATATAAACCAAAAACTCAGACCAGAGATTACGAGATATTGAGGGCGTCCTGAGTCCTGGGACCTTGGGGCCCCACGGGGAATGACTGGGATGCAGGAACGGTATAACCCCCCACAGAGTTACCCATATCCCCTCCCTGATAAAATTAACCTCTATTTGAAGAATAAAGTTAGTAATTCCTTATCGACCAACTTACTTGTGCTTACTTTAGCCTGTTCCCCGCTCAACTTATCCCGGCATTTTAACCGACCACAAAAAGTGCCGGCTTTTCCCCCGAACAGCTTTTAGTTCTGCGACATTCCGCGACTCTCCCAGAAATGGGCGACATATGCGTCCGAGATCACCAACACATGGCACAAACCCCACCATTTTCGATGGAATCCTCCTCCACTGAGGCTCCATTCAACCTCCCCGGTCCATCTACAGCCGGCGACGTACGGCGGACCCCACGCGGGGCCGCGGCATACCCCCGCAAAAGGGCTATCACCGCATGCCAGGTCTGCCGTGCGCGGCGCACCAAATGCGACAATCGGAAGCCCTCATGCTCCTTTTGTCTCAAGGTTGGCGCTCGGTGCATCCAATCCGCCGTCGACTTATCCAGATTCGATCCCGCGAGTATCAAGATCTTGGAGCAACTAAGCGAGCTTAGAGATGCGATGGGGAAGTGTCAGTCTGCTATTGAAAACCTAGGAAACTTGGAGGTACATGCTGGGGGCTCTACATCGGTTGCTATAAACTGCTCTCCAGGCAAGACAGTTTCTGACGTAGACCGGACTCGACTGTTGCCTCCATCTATTGAGGCTATTTGCCGGTGGCCGGTTCTTGATCTAACCCCAGTTCCCCCGCGCGGGGAGGGTCTAGCCTCTACCTCAACCGACACAGACACCGGGACGGGCTTATCACCGGATAACCTGGAAATGAGACTCACCCGACCGCTACTCGATCGGTTTTTCCAATACGTGCACGTCAAAAATCCTGTGCTCGACGAAACATACACACGCCGATTAGTTGCCTATTTCTGCGTTGAGGGGCTAGACTGGTCCCCAGAATCATGTCTTGCCCTTCTTGTTCTCGCCCTTGGGGCAACCGCTACCCCATTTGAGGGCCCCAACCAACCCGAAAAGAACTCGGCATTCATCATCAGTTCCCGCTCCTTCTACAAAGCCGCACAGAAACGACTAGCCCTGACGGTGGACGGCCCTGATAGGGTACTGGAAGCACAATGCTATTTCCTGTCCGGTGTATACGCAGCTACCCTCTTCCACCTAGACGCCGCCTGGAAACTCTTCCTCCATGCTCTAGCATGCTGTCAAACGTTCCAATTCCAGTCCTCCCCCTCCTCACGCGACACGCAGGTCTTCGATCCGGTCCACAGCGAACGCACTTGCGGCCGGCAAACTCTAAGCCGAGAACAAACAATCTACTGGTCCTCCTGGAAGTCCGAACGTGAACTCCGCAGCCAACTGCCCGTCCCTGATTTTGCCCTCTCGCAGACAGACATGGTCACATACCCACATTTCTTCCCTACACCCCCCTTAAACGAGGATGCCGAATTCCCGGACTCGAGCGAAAGCCTCCATGTCCGCGAGGAACAATCATGGTACTTCTACCTCTCTGAAATCTCCCTCCGCCGCTTAGCATCCTGCATCGCGAAGGGGATCGTGCAGTTCTACCCCTCACTACCCGGAGAGCATTTCCTCGACGGATTAGCTACAGCAACCCGTATCCACGAATCTCAAGCAGAGGAGTGGGCTATCCGGCTTCCACGGGTTTTATCCCTTGACCAACCGCCAGAAACGGATGATATCTGTCGATTTGTCCTTCGTGGCCACCTGCTCAATCTATACGAAAGTATCTACTGGCCCTTCATTGACGCGCTGATTAGCGGGTTTCCGATGGATGGGGAGAGAGTATTACTGCGGAGCCTTGTGCTGAAGGGATTACAGAAGCATGCGGAGAGGCTGTGGGTTAACCACGCCGGGTATAAGCATCGGCACCACGGGACACTATTTCTGCTTCGGAATTGTAGTCGGAGTGCACTGGTGCTCGCGGCTGCCGCGTTGGCGATTCAGAGGCAGTTGGACAAAGAGGGGCAGTGCGAGGTCATTATGCCTTTGGGGTGGAGGGAAGCCGTGCTTTTAGCGGTGGAGATGAATCGGTATTGGGCGGGCGAGTCGGCCGATGCGGCGTACCTTGGGAGGGTTGTTGAGGCTGCTTGGGGGAGAGTCGAAGGGGTTCATATTTAGCGAGAACCTCCTTTTTCTGCTTATCCTTTACAGGTGTTGATAAACTAAGAATTTCTATAACCTTACACCATAGTAAGCCCTGCTTAGTCTAGTAGGCAAATCATGGGTTTGTAATCTCCCCCATGCCAACATGCTATTTACTTCTAATACCACTTGATAGAGCTCTTTACACTGATTCCAGTAATATAATCTTATTCAGTTTTATTACTGTGGTACAGAGCTGGAGATATGTAAGTTGACATAAATCGAAGTCTAAATAGCTTTAACATAGGATATATACTAATCTAATTGGAAGAAATTTTAGTCATACTTTTTTGCCACTCTATTATTTTCTCTTTCAATTATAGATCTGTCTTATAGCACTTACCAAGAGAGTAAATTATTCTATTGTAATCAATATAATCTGACTGATACCGGCTAGGTTCTCCATTCGTTCAATGGGAGAGCAAAACCGCGAAGATTGATAGGATAGTTGCGCCCATAGCCTAAATGCATTTCTCCTTTCACGTCCGCGCAAGCGTGTCTTGCGTGGAACGCACACTTAGGGTTTCCGACGAAACCTTAAGGACCTTGGTAAGCTTCGCGGAGTGTCGGAGATCCAGCCAAGTGGCTAAGCCGATTCTTTCACTACCCTAGACTTTAGCGGTGTTTAGCGTCCTGTAGTTATACTCGCCTGGGGGAGTTCTCCGCAGATATATAGAACCCCGGATGGTAGATCATCAGGATATACAAGCGACACTGATGAGCAAAGGCGTCGCTACCACATCCTCCCTACATCTATCATTTGACTACTCTACTACAATGTCTGACGCAATGGGGGGAAAGCCCTCTGCAGACGCTGCCGAACAGGAGACTTCTGTTAGCCACAAAGAACACATAGATGCGGTTCATTCAGTCGAAGATTCCGTGACATTCTCTTATATTGTGAAGCACCATAAGGCAATTATCGCGTGGTCTTTTTATTGGGCCATGTGTGCGATCGGCTGGTAGGTAGTTTATCACCTGCTTCCCCCCCCCCCCC